TCAAAAAGGTTGCCTACCCCTGATCTATGCAGTCAAAGGCTTTGCTATCACATTTAAAGCACATGCTGATTTTCTTCTTGAATTCTTTGGTTCACTCTATTATCCATCATATGTTTGTGATGTGGTCCCTAGTGTTTCTTCCTTTATTGAACCCTGCTTATAATAATAATAATAATAATAATAAAATTTATTTATATACCTCCCGGTGGCGGACCAATCTAGGCGGTTTACAATAAAATTTCATACAATCAAATGCTTACACCTCTGGAATTTCTCTCTCCATGTGGCATAGTGGTTTGAGTGTTGGACTATGACTCTAGAGACCAGGGTTCAACTCCCAGCTCAGCAATGAAACCCACAGGATGACCTTGGATGAGCCACATGCTCTCTACCTCAGGTGAAGGCAATGGCAAACCTCCTCTGAACATATCTTGCCAAAAAAAAAAAAACAACCTCATGATAGAGCGACCTTTGGGCTGCCATAAGACAGAAAAGCCTTGAAGGCACACAAAATTAATAAGATTGGAGTCTATGCTGCAGAATTTTGAGCATAATTTTGCTTGGATGAGACATTAATGCTATGGTTCTATAGTTGCTGCAGTCTTTTGAATCTTCTTTTTTATGGATTTGGATGTATGATCATTTCCAGTTCATTGGCCACTGTTTTGTTTTCCATATTTGTTGGCTTATTTTAGTTAACTCTACCTTCACAAGAATAAAGCCCAAGCAAGTTACTCATGCACATATAGTCTATTAGTGGCTATTGGGCTGAGGAGTCACTCTATATGATGCCTTGAATAAAGAAACTCTGCCTGTACATTTCCACAGGCATTTGGCTTTGTGTTGATGGTAGCAAAGAGCCAGGCTAAGTGGACCTTTATTTGTCCCAGCAAAGCAATTCATACATTGCTGTAAGTGCATACTCATTTGAGTTTATAGCCCAATGGTATAAAACTGATGTTGGATAGGTCTCCTAGTCAATGTGTACAAAAAAATGTTATGCAGGACAGTGGTGATATTGCACAGTAGTTAGCATGTTGCAATTAAGGCTGGCTCAACATTACTAAAGAGCATTCCTGGACATCATATCCTACTTCTGACACCTGCCCTGTCTCCTCGGCTACTGTTCAAAGCTATTGTGAGAACTTACAATGGTAGCTGCCAAAATAATAATAAAAAAGAAGTCTGACATTGCCAGATCATCCTTCCAGGAAAAGAACAACTGATGCACAAGGGAACCCCATTAAACCTGGAGCCAGCCCTGAATTTATATCCATTCTTAGCCACACCCATCATAGGCAGGCCTTCAGCAAATTACTACTTGGTGCATCCTAGCATAGACTCAAAAGGCTTTATCTGAAGGAATAACACTAAATCATTGTCATAGATAATGCACTGAGTTCCTTAGATGAAGGATGGGAGATAAATGAGTTTATCTAAAGTTATTTACAGGAGACTGACAGACAGCAGGAACTTGGTTAACTGTGATTTTGAGATAAAGTGGGTCATCTTGTACATGACCCTGCAAGAGTTTTACCCATGATCTTTAAGATTCTAACAAAGGTCTCAATCCACCTGGCACTACTGCAGAGCAATCTCAATTCAGGAGGGTCATAGAACTGAAATGAATGAAGCTAGCTGTACAGCAGTCTCAGCCCTAAATTGTATATAAAAGGCAGCGCTCTCAATTAAAGTTAGAGGGATTATTGCTGGTTGCAACTTTAAGAGTTTCTAGCTGAAATGTTTACCAGGTTGGGACACAAGTAGTATAAAATGTCTGTAGTTTGAATATCACAGTGAGGGTATTCTTTTTTTAAAAAAAAACTGTCCATTTTAATAATTTGTCTCTGATTACAATTTAAATGTGCACTTCAGAAATATTAATTGCATTAATACTCAACAAGGAGAAGGTGCTTGAGATTCACTGATCCTAAACTTACAATTTTGGGAAAGTGAAAATGCTTAGCATGACATGCTGTCCAAATCCCACCCACTCCTGCTGAACACTCTCCTTACAGCAGAACTTGCCATTTTCACACCGGCCTTCAATTAGGTACTACAAGAGAATTAGTGGCATTCTACTGAGAATGTTTCAGAGTTCAAGTGGCCCTTCTAAAGCTCTGCGAGTAGAATTATCTCCTGAAGCTTCGGGAGAAGCTTTATTCCTTCATCTGGCTAGGATTAGCTGTATAAAATGGGAGATCTGATTCTATGATTTTTGAAAAAAAACAGGATATCTTATATAAGGTTTTGCTTTGAATGCCACAAAAGTTCTATGCAGGGCAAATATTTAATTATTCCTCTCCAAGTCACCTAGTGGGTGTTTGCTGCTTTGAAAATATCCCTATGACCTATTTTTATGTATTTCAGAGGAAAGAAATAGCAAGAAACCTCCATCAATAGAAAGATCCATGTATGTGTGTATGTGTGTGTGTGTGTACTATGTGCCTTCAAATCATTTCCAACATATGCCGACCCTAAGGCAAATCTTTCATGGGGTTTTCTTGGCAAGATTCATTCAGAGTAGGTGTGTCATTACCTTCCCCTGAGGCTGAGAGCATGTGATTTGCCCAAGGTCATCCAGTGGGTTTCATGGCCAAGCAAGGAATCGAACCCTGGCCTCCAGAGTCATAGCCCAATGCTCACACCACTACAGCTCTCTAGTTCTCATATAGATCCATAGGAAGAGGCATTATCAGAATCTCCTCTTCCTCTTTCTTCCTATTATTTCCAGAGGAAGTTTGCCATTGCTTTCCTCTAACACTGAAGGAATATGACTTGCCAAAGGTCACCTACTGAGTTTCCATGGCAGAATGGGGATTCAAACCATTGCCTTCCAGAATCCTAATCCAAAACCCAAATGACTACATTACACTATCTGTAATTATATTTCACCTACTTCTCAAATGCTGCTATTAGGATCATCACTGAGAGAAAACTGCATTAAAGATATTGAAACATGGTTGTTGTTGTTGTTGTTGTTGTTTTAAAAAAAAGCAGTGTCCAAACTTTATATTTTCAAAAAAGTGTTACTGGAAAGAGCTCCTGCCGAATATTGTCTGGAGTGTCCTCTTATCATTGTATCTATTGCCATGGATATAAGCCAGCTCTAAGATGAAGAGGTAATATTTAAGCAATGAGCAGTTTAGCCACAGATGAATAGCTATTATTTTGTAAAGCTATAGTGAAGTTACTGTTATATGTATGGTCAGTTGCTTTCCAAAATCCAAGGTCTTATTGGAAATATACTGCATTACAATATTTTGAGTACTGCTTCAATGGCTCTTCAAATGCCTAGTTTTTTTAAAAAAAATCTATCATAATAAGAGCTGATTCTATATTCATTTCTGCCAAACATAGTTCCTGTTCAGCCCCTCAGTAATACAAACACAGTCTTGAAATACATCAAGAAAATAGTCAAAGAGAGTAGCTGGACTTGCAGAGTCATAAATAAGTCACAAAGGTTATAATTTAAAGAGAAGTTTCACCATGGTCAGGTGAAGCATGCCAAACTTTATCATTAATAGTGATCTTCACTAGAAACTGAGCTCCAGCTAGTGAAAGAATTGCAGCTGCAGTCAAAAGAGACCAAAACAGTGCCCCAAGTAAATGACAAATTTGGCTTTCAACTTATCCTTAATGCTACCTGAGCAAAATCATCAGTCTAAAATTATTCTGACTGATGTGACTTATAGTGATAATTGATGCTAGCTGAATTCAGACAACAAATAAGCCAATTCTTTCACACCATGAGTAGCAAATATTGTATTCACAGTTTGGAAAAGTTATTTCAGCAGACTATACCCCTAGCTGCAATCTGCTCTGATCAGTATATCATCTCCAAAATGAGGACTGCAGGGGGAAAGGGGCAATGAAATCTACTAAAGAAACAAAATTTGTTCATATCTGGAATGTCTATCTTATCTGAAAGTGTGCAGAAATATGGAGAAGGAGTAAGCATCACTATTTGTGTACTTACTGTATATACAAGTTGACATGATGTATAAGTTGAGGGAAAGTTTCAGGATTTTGATATGACCTGTG